ATGGTCCTGACAAAGTGTTGTTATTTTTCGGGTCAATCAGAAATACAATTTGGCTGCCATGGCCGCTATTTTGCTACTAAGTTCTAATAGGCCGATCTCACTTAAAATTGGTCTAGGAATGATCAGCTCATGGTCCTGACAAAGTTAAGTTAACATTATACTATTTTTTACTCAAATTGGTACATATTTCAACAACAAAAATAAATACTATAGACTCAGGTGACCGTTTAGGCCCATGGGCCTCTTGTTTTGAGAAACAGTTATTCTTACGTATACAGACAAAATGTATTTGATACCGATATTTACACCTGTGTGCCAGTCCTTTCATTAGAAGTTTAAACCGATTTTATTTTTCAGCTTTACCTTTACAAGAATAACCATTAAAATTTGGTGTAGTATATAAATTCATTTAAAACTATAGGGATTTTTTTTAAACATCAACATTAAATCGATCAGTCACACGAACATATAACGGACCCTGAGTAGAACCACGTCCGTAGGGTCTGGTAACATGCTCGTTTCAAGAGTGTGGCTGAGAGTTCGACAATATAATCCGTTCTAACTGTGTTCATCTATGCGAAGCCCTACCCTACGTACACATGTGACACGGCGTATAGCTTCGTAAAATCGTAAAATTAAATTCACGATAACTCAATCATTTTTCAACAAATGTACCTGAAGTTTGGTATACAGGTGTATCATAGTTATATGAATAACATATCTTCTGATGTCGCTTACTTAATCGATCAATTTTAGAGATATAGTTTGAAGACGCTTCACAATCTGTTGAGTTCTATTCACACACGTGTGCCACACCGCCGATCGTAATAATAAATTAATCATAACTCGATTATTTTTTCAAAAATCGAGCTGAAATTTGGAATGTATATCAATAAAAGTCTAACTAATAACATAACCTCTGATGTCGCTTACTTTAGCGAGTAATTTTAACGATATTATCTGGCGACGCTTTCTTCACTTTACATGCGAATACACACATGTGCCACGCCGCGATAGTAAAAATTCAATTCGTCATAACTCGGTCATTTTATCAAATATCAAATTGAAATTTGGTACAGAGGTGTATTATAGTCATATTAACAACATTTCCTCTGATGTCGCTTACTTTATTCAGCATTTTAAAAGATTTTGTCTGGCGACGCTTGTTGTCACTTGAAGACGCTTGTTGTCGGTTGAAGACGCTTTTAAGGATGACCGGCGGGGATCATCTGATGTGTATACTGCTGAATCGAGTGCTGATTATTCGCTTCAACAGCACCGTATAAAATATGTTTACCACTGCAGAAAATGGTATAATTATTAATGACTAAGGTAGATTATAATCGAAAAACGATCGGTTTGGCCTCTTCGATTATCGATTGTATAAGCAATAGCCGAATAGGCCTAATCGAAAAACAAAACCTATTGTTTAGTTATAACAATGTTATTGATGTAATATTAGTGTTACTTTATTTGGGTATTCTCTCCCATAAAATTATAAACCAATAATGCAATTGATCATCGATCGGTTTACTACTTATGATTACAAACTGATTATCGATTCTGATTTAAAACCGATTGCCTATCACTAATATTTATATTGTTCAGCAACTACATCAGTTTATTCTGATTTGAATCGATGATGTTTTGGAGGAGGGGGTGTTTTGAGCTTTGACTCCCAGGAATCTAGGTCATTTTATCTGAATCTTTTGGTTGTTTAACCCAAAATGCACAGCAAGACCGGAATCCAAACTCATAACCCCCCAAACTCTAGATGGGTGCTCTATCAATGGAGCTATCTGGTTACTGACGATTGACCAAGAAGTGTTGTTGACGATAGAAACAATTTAAAACCTACTATTATGAGATACAAATGATAATCTCATGATCATCTACCTACTTCATCAAATATGGTGATCTTGCCTAAAATATTTGTTTCAAATAAAGTAGATTTTTTGGAAGTTGATGTGTTTAAGATTTGCTATGATTAGGTTGCCTTACAAGAGTCAGCTGTACAGAATTTCCCTTTGGCTCAGCGGTAGAGCATCAGGCTGGAGAGCCAAGGATCGTGCAGGTTCAAGCCCCAGAGACGGAATTTTCTTTCTATCACTAATCCTCGTCCAACTACAGGTGCACAATAAATTTGTTTTCATCAGTTTGTGCCTCCATCATCTTTGGATGACTGTATCTGCATGCATTTGGCACTTTCTTTCTATCACTAATCCTCGTCCAACTACAGATGCACAATAAATTTGTTTACATCATTTTGTGCCTCCATCATCTTTGGATGACTGTATCTGCATACATAGTATGCATGTCGGTCCTCCTCACTACCATGCTGCAGCCCTCCTCAAAATATTGTGGTGTGCAGATATTAATTGTACATAGGAATACGATTGCCTTCTAGCTTCGCCCTAGATGGACTTTCCCTTAAGCTTGGTGGTAGAGCATCCAACTAGGAAGTGTGGAGCTGCTGGCTCTGACCCCAAGTTGAAGCACAATTCTCTCTTGCTGTTACAAAATGGTACAATAATAGAAATTAAAGAGGTGAAAACTGCCATCCTTCATTTAGCCAATGTTTGCATCCAGGAATTGTAAAATGCTCTTATGAAAATGATTAATACCTTGCCAAAGGTAGTAACTAAAATCAAATAAAAATGAGTATATAAAAGGGGGAATACTCACATATTAAATGTTACGCCTTAGTTGGACTAGTGAACGTTTTCATAATTTGCCATGAATTTGTAGTTGTGTCAAGAAAAAAATGTCAGTATCTGGCTGTTAGCTTAGAGTACTCTAAATATGTCAGTATCTGGCTGTTAGCTTAGAGGTCTCTAAATATGTCAGTATCTGGCTGTTAGCTAGAGTACTCTAAATATGAAAGAAATTTGAAAGATAAACCAGTTCTGAAGTTAAACTCCTCATGTGATTGTAATGGAAAGTTATATACATTACATTTATTTGTACCTAAATTCCTGTTTTGTTTTAACTTTAAATTCCTTTCTGTATTTTAGATGTGATGCTGATCCAGACCCCCTTGCAAAATATGTAGTAGCTCTCCTTAAAAAAGACAAAACAGAAAAGGAACTTGAGGCAGTATTTCTAGATCAGTTAGATGTTTTTCTCCAAAGCAGTAAGTAATTATTTTAGAAAAATGTTAAGTATGGTAATATATTATATGTGACAATGAAATGACAGATCCTATATACTACATGTATCAATATAATTGTACATTGCATTCCTCTACAGGGCTGTTTAACCCAGTAACCATTGCATTGTGTTAATTTTAGATGGGACACAAGTCATTGGGGGAGTGCAACATATCATCTTACATAAAATCCAAGATTCGTCCATGACTAACCGAATACACAAGCTGTTTCAGCATTGTCAAATGCAATCATGTTAGTGAATTCATTCAAAATAGCTGTATCAAGTGTTTGTTCTCAAGTCTTATTATGGTTTGCTCAAACTTATCAACTATTGACCATGCCAAAAATCTAGGACCTGGTTGTAATTTCTTTAGGCTTGAGTGATTTCAGATTTTTAGCCCACCATCATCTGATGGTGGGCTATTCAAATCACCCTGTGTCCGTGGTCCGTCGTCCGTCCGTAAACAATTCTTGTTATCTGTATTTCTCAAGAAGTACCAGAGGGATCTTTCTCAAATTTTATATGCAGGTTCCCCTTGGTCCTAAGCTGTGCAGGGCAACTTTTGAGACTGATCGGATAAAGAACATGGCCGACAAGCAGCCATCTTGGATTTTGATAGTGAAAGTTTGTTATCGCTATTTCTCAAGAAGCACCAGAGGGATCTTTCTCAAATTTTATATGTAGGTTCCCCTTAGTCCTTAGCTGTGCAGGGCATTTTTTTGAGACTGATCGGATAAACAACATGGCCGACAGGATTTTGAAAGTGAAAGTTTGTTATCGCTATTTCTCAAGAAGCACCAGAGGGATCTTTCTCAAATTTTATATGTAGGTTCCCCTTGGTCCTTAGCTGTGCAGGGCAACTTTTGAGACTGATCGGATAAACAACATGGCCGACAGGCAGCCATCTTGGATTTTGATAGTGAAAGTTTGTTATCGCTATTTCTCAAGAAGTACCAGAGGGATCTTTCTCAAATTTTATATGTAGGTTCCCCTTGGTCCTTAGCTGTGCAGGGCAACTTTTGAGACTGATCGGATAAACAACATGGCCGACAGGCAGCCATCTTGGATTTTGATAGTGAAAGTTTGTTATCGCTATTTCTCAAGAAGTATCAGAGGGATCTTTCTCAAATTTTATATGTAGGTTCCCCTTGGTCCTTAGCTGTGCAGGGCAACTTTTGAGACTGATCGGATAAACAACATGGCCGACAGGCAGCCATCTTGGATTTTGATAGTGAAAGTTTGTTATCGCTATTTCTCAAGAAGTACCAGAGGGATCTTTCTCAAATTTTATATGTAGGTTCCCCTTGGTCCTTAGCTGTGCAGGGCAACTTTTGAGATTGATCGGATAAACAACATGGCCGACAGGTAGCCATCTTGGATTTTGATAGTGTGGGTTTGTTACCGCTATTTCTCCGGAAGAACTAGAGGGATCTTTCTTAAATTTTATATGTAGGTTCCCCTTGGTCCTAGCTGTGCAGGGCAATTTTAGAGACTGATCGGATAAACAACATGGCCGACAGGCAGCCATCTTGGATTTTGATAGTGAAAGTTTGTTATCGCTATTTCTCGGGAAGTACGGGAGGGATCTTTCTCAAATTTTAAATGTAGGTTCCCCTTGATCCCTCGTTGTGTATGTTATATTTTGAGACTGATCATAAAAACAAAATGGATTAAAAGAAGAACTAAACAGATCTTTCTCATATTGCAATGATCGATTCTATTTCTTTCACATTAAGTACTGTACTAGTAAATATGTGAAATGACAAACTCACTTTGAAGGTTGGCTTTCATACACATCAGTATTAAGTTTAGATCAAAAGTTACCTCAAGGTGCATTTACTGTTAACATGACTCGATCAAACAGATTAGAGGAAAGAAGAGAAAAGATCGAACTGACAAAGAACTAATGAAGATGGTACAAAGGTGGGCGCCAAGATCCCTCTGGGATCTCTTGTTGTTTCTCTAAGACATACAAAGTATGTAACAAGATGTCAATATGTATCATATTTATATATACCTGTGGACATTAGGTCAGGTCCCCCTCCCCCACTTATTATAGGTCTCCTGCTATAAATGCCACCATACAACAGATCAAACAGGTCATTGCTGGACTTTGAGCAGTCTTGTGATTTAATCAGCGTCAAATTCAAGTGTAAAAGACCCCCTGGATTACAAATAAAAAGGTGATTCAGCTGATGATAAATTTCTGGCCAGTTAATGTGATGCGGCATGGAGAATGTCCACCTGGCCCTGGGAAGAACCCTGATCGAGTAATCATACTAAAAAATGGACCTAAACTTTTTGTCATTACTAATACAAAGTTCTGTAAAATCAAAATGTTCTGATTTGGTTGCAGAAACAAAAGATTTTGTTGCATCATTTTTCCGTGTTTTGGAAGACAAATCGTACATTCCACCACCACCACTACCGCCGACCAGTGTTGCTATTAAAACTGAAGCTGTTCCAGACAGTACAACAACACAAGCAACCACTACCCTACTCAAGCCAGCAGACATCAAGGAAGAGGTCAATAAGGAGCCAGTAGAGGTAAGTCTCCTATACGATGAGGCTGTTAATTTGTATATATCCTACTTAATCAAAAACCATGACCTGGCTCAGTAAATTTTGGAACACAGATATTGAATCCTGGACTTTTGGTTTTCCCGTGGGACTTAGACACATTTTGAGGACCAACTGTCTCTTTAAGTAACAGGACTCATCAACATTTTAAAAATGATTTTCAGGACTTGTTTAAAGATTCCTACAACAATCGGTGAATCACTGGAGCCTCTTATGAACTTCTGCACACAGTCATTTGTTGTATGTCCCTTGTAAATATGTCTGCTGTTTCTAGTAGACAAGTTTATTGACCCACAGTAATACATCCTGCAGATCAGGTGTACATTGTGTAATGATAAATACAGGTAGAACCAGAAATCAGCAGATGTTTATGTAATGACTTATGATAGTCAGATTTTCTCTTCTATGTTAGCCTATTTCAGCTATATATTGTCTAGTTTTAAGTTAATTTCATTTAGGTCTTGCATTTTTTTTAAGCTCTTTCTGTAGCTTGTGTTGTTTTTAGATATGGATCCCATAAATGACTATGACACTTGTACTAAAGCACAGTTACTGAACTTCTTTATTTGATTAAGAGTGAAGATAAAGCATCGAAGGACAGTAAAGAAAAAGATGCCAAACAGCGTCGCAACAGGACAGCTAGTCAGGAGAAACGTGATTTGTAAGTCTCCACAGATGTTCTTTTACATAATACATGATGGCTGTCACTAAAAGTTACTCTAAAAGTTAAACCTGGTTTGATACCTATTTTTCTTAATCAGTTTTTAAAATTATTTCTTGCAGTTTTGATGTTGAAAAACATAAATATTTACTTACAGACAAAGACAAAACAATACAAGATTGAACTTCAACCATTTTCTTATTAGGCCAAAAAAAAAGATTACTTGGTTCTCAGGCCCGTGCGCATTTCATTTTAGGCACCGCATTGTCGATTTTATCGTGAAAGTAATAAAAAAAAAATTGTGACTGCGCCAGCCGCCGTCTTTAAAAAAAATCCGGAAAATTGGTCCGCATGTCAGTTTTACTCGTTAGTCACCCAAGTCCCGAAAAACGTTTGAATAAAGATAAGGATTGATATACAGGCAAGCGTTAAAATGGTCATGACTTATTAGTCTTGTGTACAAATGGTGCTCATTTCGGTACAAATAAGGAATGTGGGGTTTGTGATTCTCGTCTGGAACATCGTTGGGGGATTTTCAGGGGCTTGCTCTATGACGGGTCTCTACACAACTATAAAAAGACAAGGTTAATGACCACAATGAACGTTTTACAAACTACACAATAAAAAAAAATCGCCCTCGTCTCTTTTTTGCCATATAAAATTTTAAAAAAAATACCTCCCTGACGCATCTCTTTTGAAAAAAATTGGCGTGAGAACCAAGTATTTAATTTTATTTGGCCTTATATATGTTGAAGACTTTGAGCGTGATTTGTAAACTCTTTAGTTTGATGTTTACTAGGGAGGAGAAGCAACGAAGAAGAGACAGATTTGGACCTGTAGATCATGCTGTGACCAGAGTAGTCAGAGGTCAAGATCGCTTGGACCGACCTGACAGGCCTGACCGACCCGACAGGCCTGACCGACCCGACAGGCCTGACCGTCCAGACAGAGGTCCAGGGGACAGGCGATACTACAGACGAAGGTCAAGGTCGCGCAGCCCAAGGAGATTTTCCAGAAGTCCCCTTCGATCTAGAAGTCCATTCAGAAGGCGTCTACGCTCAAGATCAAGATCTCCATATAGGGCAAGATCATGGACACCACTTTCAAGGTCAAGATCAAGGTCATGGACTCCTCGCTCAAGATCTAGGTCACGCTCAAGGTCAAGATCTAGGTCACGCTCAAGGTCAAGAGGTGAGTTGATCTTTCTAATTTTGTGAAATGGAAATGGTAAGACCTGGGTTCAAGGCTGTCAATGATGACTTCCTCCTTTATTCTTTTAAATGGTGAATAAACCCATTAGATTGGGTCTCCATATAAGAATCCAGTCTCTGTGATACCTGTAAAAGTTGAATGTTAACAATGTGATCTGTGACAGCTGATCAGGACAAGGGCCCAAACATTGGGAAATTTACCTTGAGCTCTACTAAATGTTCATCACTTCCATAAAACCTAGTTTCTTTAGTAAGTTTCCGCAATGATTCAGCAGATTAATTAAGGAGGACCAAGTCCCAGAAGTATACATGTTCTTGAAATTTCTTTTTCTGTTGTTACAAAGGAATGAGACCTCAACCAGACAGTCGAGGATCAACACCCACCTTGGACAATGGGAGATACAGCCACAGTATCCCTGCCGTAGGGGGTGGAGTGTACTCTATGGCCCACGGGGACCGCTGTCTCACCACAGACAGTGCAGGCCGTGAGATACGTCCCAGATGTAAAGACTATGACGGTAAAGAAATCAAAGCACCTCTTATTTCACCGAACAAATATAGTATGATGCAGGGTGTTCAGTGATCATCAGTGGACTTTAAAGCTTAAGACTCAATGGGGGGGTACATAATGACTTGGTATAAATATAACTCAACAGAGATAATTATGTTGAGCATGGTGTAGATGGAATTTTTCACACTTCTCCTTATTAAATTACCTTGAGTTGTACAGTTTTGAGTCCCGTTCCCAAAATTTTGAGAGAGAAAATTGGTAGATTCCATTCAATAAATATCAATCAGATATTTGCAAGTAATATTGAAACCCAAAACTTTTTCTTTATTAACAGTCAATACTGCAGTATTGCGAGTTATAGTTTGAATTTCAACTATTTCTATTAGTATTAGAGTAACAAACTGTGATTTATTAATAATTTTTGTCCAAAGGCTCAAGCAACCTATTGCAATCAGTTCATGATGAAAGATTGCATTGATCACTTTATAGGCAGACAATGTTCTACGGAAGCTTTGTTTTCATTTAATTACTCATCTTTAAAGGGGCTGGTCGGGGAAAAAATTACAAAATAAATGGGTCTAAATGCGTTCTCTGGCCTTCCAAAAGTTATATCACGGCAATATGATGGTCGAGTTCTGCTTGCAATGTCCAGTTTTTGACCACTGAAATATCGGGGAAGCCCCGCGTAAATTTAGCACAGATCTATTTATAATATGTCACGTGGTTGTTTCGAAAGTGAGGCAGTGAAGATAACAACAATAGCACGCCGTCATGTGCCATATCGGACTCAACTAGCGGACAAGACAGCAATACTATACGTAAATAATTGTTTTAAAAGGTCATGTATGATGCAAGTGTAATATTCCTACCAATATATTGTTGTAATATATAAAGGTATTGATACCTCGTGCCTGTCATGACTTTTGCATGCATCTTTTTCTTTCGCCGCAATGTTTACATTTGGCCTTGTTGATGACGCGCGTGCGGTAAAATTACATCACTGATCTGGGTCAATTGAGAGTTTTAGACTGTCAGGTGACGATTTAGGATTTCTTTAATATAATTATAATTTTTACTCTTAGGGAGTGAATTTCAGCAAAATTTGAATCGGTATATTTCATTAGAAGGTATTTTAAACATGTGTATGCCATTTTAGCAAATATGACATTTTTTACCCCGACCAGCCCCTTTAAATAATAGGGTCACCTTTTTGGTGATGGTAGTTGTCTTGTTATCTGGACAACCTTTAGAAACCTGGTATTACAAAATTCCAAACTTTATAATAAGAGTTCAAGTATAAAAGTCATAAAATCTTCTGCAACACCCTCAGAGCAGACATTCTCATTACATCAAATTCAGTATGAAAAAAGAAACGGCACCATCATAAAAATGAGTACATATGGTGTCAGAGTACTATTTTCAGCAATTGCTTTTTGTATTGTGTATAGAATTTGAAAATGAAAAAGAAAGTGTTAGACAAGCTTAACAAACCCAATTTCAAATATACTTCTTCATTAACAGAGAAAGGTTTCTGTATGCGAGGAGATCTGTGTCCTTTTGATCACGGGCTGGACCCAGTTATAGTGGAAGATGTCCCTATTCCCAGTGTTGGAATGCCTTTCCCTCCCCGAGGTAAGACAATTAGCTTATTCCCTCAGGAAGTATGCCTTTTCCTACCCAGGTAACTACCAGTAAGGAGTGCCATTCATAACAGGTAAAATATTTATATAATAATTCTGTAGAACATGTATGAAATATTTGTGTTGTATTCTTATTGTCGGATATCATCATTGTATCACATTTTACAGATTATTTCATACAAATTTCTTTTAAGTACTATTTAATTATATGTTGTGCTTGTAATTTTCTCTCCAGGACCACCGCCGCCAACAAGTAACAGCACAAATCTGCCCCCTGGATCTGGCCCTATGGTGTCTGGCCCCCGATTTATGCCTCCCACACACGGTCCACCGCCTGGCATGCCCAGGATGGGAATGGGGCCTGGACCAAGACCTCCACCTCCAAGACTAGGTGAAACTTTTTTTTAAACAAGTTGTAAAACAAACTAATATTGAAGGTTGCCACATTAATGTATTTATTGTTGTATAAAAATTATATTCATTTCATTAAATTTTGGTGCTTGAACATCAAGTTTAAATTTAACATTTGCACTAGCAAAGATAGATACTCTAGTAAGTGGAGTTTTCTAGTACGTGGGGTTTCACTGTATCTGTTATTTGACAATTTTGTTAATAAATTTTTCAGAAAACTTTGAAGTGTACAATCCTGAGGCACCAGGTATTAACAGACCTCACGGTCCTGGACTACCTCCTTTCTGGAATGGCCCTCGAGGACCCCCGCCTGGAATGGGGAGAGGTGGACCACCGCCCAACTTCCTGTCTGGTCCTCCCCCACCACTACCCCCTAACCCAAACAGAAGAGATCACCTAGTCAGCATCCCCACCCTCCCTCAGGCAGAGGAAGTTAAAGGTATTGTTACTCTTCCGTCTTTTCAAAGTATTACTTTGCCTCTTGTATTGATGAATTCTACTAACTAGTGTAAAAATAATTGTGGAGACTATGGCCCCTTTCTCGTATCAAATTCAACCGATTTATCTGGTTTTAAATGTAACAATTTTGGGTATATATCCTGGTGAACCTGCTTATGCAGGCCGAGCAAGTTTTATCAAGGCTCACTTAAAATCAGCATCAGATTACTAGGTCTGAACTTATTCATAAATGCACAACTCTGGTCCAACTTGTTGGATCGCGATAAACAAATGCGGCCAATATCTTAAAGTGTGAACACTTATCTAGTCATATCTTAACAACAGAAATGTTCTCAAATTTGTTCAATTGTGTAGAGTTTTTGAAGATTTGTGATACATATACTTTAATATAGAAGAAGAGGAAGCTGCTTTAGCTCCCCCTGGTACAGAACCTGTATCGAAGCCAGTTGTCGTAGAAAAGCCTACGGAGAGGACAGTCATTGCTCCAAAGAGGGCATTCAACTCTAGTCAGGGTCCAGGTCAGGGTCAGTCCAATCAGTATGATAGTCAGAACCGGTACACAGGGAACCAGTATGGGGGCCAGAATCGCTACGGTCCTTCTCAAGCCAAGAAACCGTTTGACTACAATCGTGTAGGAGGTATGAATTATCTCGCTATGTTTGTCACTGTATGGCATTGCCATGATAAGCCTGCCAAAATCTGACAGATGGCATTCATATATTTCTCTGTTAATCACTTTAATAAAAACATGCCTTGTTTATTTAATTTTGGAAAATTTATTCATCATTTCACTCAATAAACAAAAGTTGTCAAAGCAAGAGAATGTATTTGATAATCATATTGAAGATTCCAATACTTGATGTTAATGTTTGACAGGTTACCGAAGGCCTGACATTGATATGTCCAATACTACCCTCCAAGTCACAAAAGTGCCAAAAGATTGCTGCAACATTGTGAAAGTCAACGAACACTTCTCCAAGTTTGGCAATCTAACAAACATAAAGGTAACAGATGTAGCATGTGCTAGTGCCTCATAGTCTAGGTATTCATCAGGCTTACGCTTTTTTTTAACATCCAAATTGTGAAAACTTGCAATAAGAAATTAAAATTTGTTGCAGTAAAAAATATCTCCAAAATTTCTACATTTTGTTCAAACTATTTACTAGAAATGTAGTATATTTTGTAGAACTTACAGCATTTACTCGAAGTATGTTTTGTACACTAGAAAGCAATGGCAGATGGATTGTTTTGAATATTAAAAGTGAAATAGTATATTTAGTATTACATGTGACCATGCTTCAGTGATACTACCCCATTTGTTGATATTACACAGATTGGGTATAATGCTCACGACACTATCCTGATCTCCTACTCGACCAATGCAGAGGCTCTAGCCGCCTACCGCTGCAGTGATCCGGTCTTCAACAACAGGTTCATTAAACTCTTCTGGCACAAACCAGAAAAGGTAAAAAAACTACACATTGTACATTTTATAAAAAAAAAGATGTCATTAAAGGGGCTGGTCTGGGGGAAAAATGTCATATTTGCTAAAATGGCATACACATGTTTAAAATACCTTATGAAATATACCGATTCAAATTTTGCTAAAATTCACTCCCTAAGAGTAAAAATTATAATTATATTAAAGAAATCCTAAATCGTCCCCTGACAGTCTAAAACTCTCAATTGACCCAGATCAGTGATGTAATTTTACCGCATGCGCGTTATCAACAAGGCCAAATGTAAACATCACGGCGAAAGAAAAAGATGCATGCAAAAGTCATGACAGGCACGAGGTATCAATACCGTTATATATAACAACAACATATAGGTAGGAATATTACACTTGCATCATACATGACCTTTTAAAACAATTATTTACGTATAGTATTGCTGTCTTGTCTGCTAGTTGAGTCGGACATGGCTGATTGACGGCGTGCTATTGTTGTTATCTCCACTGCCTCACTTTCGAAACAACCACGTGATATATATAAATAGATCTGCGCTAAATTTACGCGGGGCTTCCCCGATATTTCAGTGGTCAAAACTGGACATTGCAAGTAGAACTCGACCATCATATTGCCATGGTATAACTTTTGGAAGGCCAGAGAACGAATTTAGACCCATTTATTTTGTATTTTTTTCCCCGACCAGCCCCTTTAAGCAAAACAAAGATATGCATTTGTAGTTCATGTTTTGCTTTTGTTGTAAGAAACATTGCTTTTAATCTCTTTGCATACATGCATATATATGTTTAAAAAATGACAAGACCGCTGTTTGGTTGCAATGCTCAAGGAGTTAGGTAATATGTTAAATAGAATGCTTAACGTAGATAAAAATGTTCCCTTTTTTTTCTCTATTTTTACAGTATAACTGATTTTACAATGAAAGTTCAAAACTAATTGAAATGGTGTGAGCATTGATTGTTTACTTGATGACCTAACCATCACTTTAGAGTTAAGACACTTTATCTTTGAAAAAGAGTAAATATACATTTTTTAACTTTTTCATCTACATAGGAGCAGGGACAAAATCAGCCAGACTCGTCAGAAAATTCTGGTAACAAGGCTGCTGGCTCCGGTGATTTTAGGAATGTCCAGCATGCCTCTGCTAAGTCGAGACTCGGAGCCGTCATCCCTCCAGCCAGTAAACTCTCACTCAATAACCTCAAGAAGCCACCTACTACCCAGGCAGTGGTAGCTACTGATGGTGAAGCCAGTTTATCTACAGATACCCGGGACTTTAACAAGGAAAAGGTTTACAACTGTATAGAGTTTTCTGTAGACTGTAAAATATATAATGGTTGTCTGTCAGTATAGGTATCAATAACTCAGGGGGGAAATTCCAGAGGTTAACATTAAATTATAAAAAGACTTCATCTAGAAAGTCATTGTCGAGTGTTTCATATCTCATGTCATGTTTACAAAAAGAGTTGGTTTTTAATACTGAACTAGATAAATATACAGCTTCTCATCATATTCAAAATAGTGCAGACAATATCTTAAGGTGGCTCCACACTTTCGCAATTAACCAGCACAATTCGTTGAAATTTTCATATAATGGTTATGCAACTATGTAGAGTTAATTTTATGAAAATCTAAACATTCCGATAGTTTGGGGAATTTTTTGGAAAAAATACCAAAAAATTGAATTTTCGCCACTTTTAATATTTTCCGGTTTTTTTTGTGTGTGGCATTGTTCGGAACAATAAAAACAATAAAAAAATGAAAAGAAGCATTTATAATTAATCCTACAAATATTTTATTTATCGCAAAGTATGTAACACATGTTACACAAAGTGTTTTTTATTGAATTTGAACGGATAAAAGTGATTATCTACAAGCTAAAAGCAAACAGGACACACA